CTCGCCGCCTCCAACCTTCCTCCCCCAAGCAGAAGAGACCTCCCTCCAGATCCAACACCATCCTCCCCTCGTCGCCATGTACCGCGCCGCCGCCAGCCTCGCCTCCAAGGCCCGGTGAGTCGCCGTCGCATTGGCCTCCCCCCCGCCCCCTCTCTGCTCCGGCGCGGTGCCGCGCTGGGGTTTTATGTTTGCTTGTGTGCGAATCACAGCTCGCTGACACGCGTGTTTTATGCTTGTTGCAGGCTAGCCGGGAGCAGCGCCCGACAGGTGAGCAGATTGTCCTGGCTCCGCGCCGATCGCCGGCCGGGAATGGTTTCAATCTGACGGATTCGTCGTCCGCCCCCAATGCGGGGCGGGGTGTAAGTGTTTTGGTTTCTGTCCTTGTGTGGTAACGTGCTTGGGTTCCGTGCAGGTCGGGAGCAGGCTCGCCTGGAGCAGGAACTATGCCGCCAAGGACATCAGGTTCGGCGTCGAGGCCAGGGCCATGATGCTCAAGGGTGTCGAAGACCTGGCTGATGCGGTCAAGTTGACTATGGGTCCCAAGGTATGCCCTACGTCCGTGCGTTATTCATGTACAGAGTTCGTGGTGCGAGTGTCTGAATTGCTCTAGAGATTGTAAGATTGTGGCTGCCGGCGCCCGCAAACCATGTTGCTATCAAATCTATGAATTCCACTAGTAGACAAATGCTAGACTAGTGCTTGGCTTATACGTTAGCAGTATATGTCTGCCCTAAGTGTAGTAAGTAATACGAGTTGTTGGATGCTACGTGTATTACAGATGAAATTTAGTTGTAAATTACCATAAATAATTTTCTGATACCTTGTAGTAGTAAAATTATGTATATTTTGGCATGTGCGCAGAACTGCAGAAATTTGGGTTGACTTTCGTAGCACATATGAGAGTTGTTATGGCAGTGCTGAACTCATATATGTACTTACATTACAGGGGCGCACTGTTATTATTGAGCAAAGCTTTGGTGCTCCCAAAGTTACAAAGGATGGAGTCACCGTTGCCAAGAGCATTGAATTCAGTGACAGAGTCAAGAATGTAGGTGCAAGTCTTGTGAAGCAGGTTGCTAATGCGACTAATGATACTGCTGGAGATGGTATGACCTACTTCTGTACTATCATCCCATGCACATACGTTTTAATGGACATGTCTTTTTAACAGTTTTTGTCTGTATCAAAGACAATATTAGAACCATCAATAACAAGGAATTATGAAAGGCTTCTTTTCATCTTTTCGGTCGCTGCTTGTTGTCAATCTATTCTCCATGTTGCTTATTTTCTTTTGTTGGCAGTCATTATACCACAAGTTTGCTAATTTGACAGCGCTATGAACTGTGTTTTAATTGATTTTTTTTGGGTAAATTGGATAACATGAGTAGTTTTTTCTTGATTACTGCATTATCAAACGAAATTCCCATGGTCTGTGTCATGTTATATATTTCTTTCAATTCATGTTCTTCCTGAAATTGGTCTTAGGATTACTTTTAGTGCGAGTTACAGATTGTGTTATCATCTTATTATCTCATTTTAGGACCCTGGGCAGCTGTTCTGATGTTTGTACACTTTCAGGTACAACATGTGCTACTGTTCTGACAAAGGCAATATTCACTGAGGGATGCAAGTCCGTTGCAGCTGGTATGAATGCAATGGATCTGAGACGCGGCATCTCAATGGCTGTTGATTCTGTGGTAACAAACCTAAAGGGCATGGCCAGAATGATCAACACGTCTGAGGAAATAGCACAGGTATCTCCTGACCATCAATTCTGAGAAGGCATCCTGTGTTTGTTACTTTGTTCTCTTCTTCTGAGATATATATTGATTACCCTATTCCAAAGGTGGGTACTATATCAGCTAATGGTGAAAGGGAAATTGGTGAGCTCATTGCAAAGGCTATGGAGAAGGTTGGCAAAGAGGGAGTTATCACCATTGCGGTAAGTCAAAGCTTCAAATACTGGGCTTTTGGCTCATATTTGTCTTTCTGTAATATACTACTATCAATCTCTTTTGGACTATCTATACATTTATACTATGTCCTTCTGAGATGCTCGGGTAACATTTGATAGGATGGTAACACTCTATACAACGAGCTTGAAGTTGTGGAAGGCATGAAGCTTGACAGAGGTTACATCTCTCCATACTTTATTACCAACCAAAAGAACCAGAAATGTGTAAGTATTGTTTTGTTTTCTTCTTAGTGTAATTGATGTTTAAGCTTAAATTTACCTTGGTCATACATTTATGTTTTTTTTTGTTACAGGAACTAGATGATCCCTTAATTTTGATACATGATAAGAAAGTATCCAACCTTCGCTCATTGGTCAAAGTGTTGGAGTTTGCTCTCCAGGTATTTTTATTGCTTGCATGTCTCTTTCTGTTTTGTTATTGCTCCTCTATTGCAAACTAATGACCCATATTTCTGCTCAAACAGAAGCAAAGGCCTCTCCTTATTGTTGCAGAAGATCTAGAAAGTGAAGCACTTGGTACACTAATTCTTAACAAGCTTCGCGGAGGCTTCAAGGTCAGTTTGAACTCTCTGTTTTGCTTTGTAGCTAACCATGTGTAGGCTTTAATTCATCTGACTGGGCATGAAATGCAGGTCTGTGCGATCAAAGCTCCTGGTTTTGGAGAGAACAGGAAATCCAACTTACAGGACCTTGCCATCCTTACTGGTGGAGAAGTAAGTTGATAGTCAATAGCTCTTCTGTTTTGTCCATTTCACAGTATCGTATCAGATGATGACGTCCATGTTTTGTTGAATTTTGGTATCAGGTCATAACTGAAGAACTTGGAATGAACCTTGAGAACTTTGAGCCAAACATGCTGGGTACCTGCAAGAAGGTAGGGCACTTCACTTGTGTTGGATTGTACGTTTTGTTTAGAACCTTAACCACCCTAACCATTAGCACAACAAAAACTACCTTGCTGGAAATTTTACATTGTGAAGTTCAAATTTGCCTTCCCTGTTTCAGTGTTTCTCATGAAAAGGTTGTTTCTGTTAGCACTTACACCCTGTTCGGAGTACCTCTGACTCCACAGCTCCACTCCCGGAGCGGGTGGAGTTACGGTTGTAAAACGCGGAGCCGCTGTATCCTCGCTCCACAACTCCTAATATTTCGTGGAGCAGGTGGATTCCGAACAGGGCCTTAATATTGTACTCTACTTTTGTAGACTTGTAGGGCTCGTGCTGTTCAAGTTACATGAGAAATGTTGTCCTGAGACACGATTTACTTTGTTAGTTTGATTCTTTTATAGGTGTTTGTTATCATTGTGTTTAGAACTTCTCAAAACTCCACTGAACATGTGGCATGCATTTAAACTGATACATTTGAGCTAGCTGCTT